TCTGTTCTAGTTTCTCCGGTGTGTCAGTGGAGAATTGCCTCCTCCGTCCCCAGGCCCCCTTTCTCCCTTGGTAGGAAATGCCATCTTATGGGGGCAGCGTTGTGCCGAGTCAAACATTCCTGGGAAACTTGGGGGGTAAGACCCAGTTCTGATCATGGACCTGTAGCTAGAAGCCCACTTGTGGACATTTTCCTCACTAACGGGCACATTCGGTTGGCGTACACCTTGAACTCGTCTATGCCGCCCCCCCCTGCCTGCAATTCTAGGGGCAGCCAGCCCTCTCACAACTGTGGGCAGGGTGGCGGAACAGGAGCTGAAGGAGCGAGGGCAGTGCAGGGCAGGGCAGGGCACCTCCCACACTGGGCCCGCCCTGCCCTCCCCATCACTGGACTTCTCGCTGCGTGAGACAAAGCCCGAGTGTTTGATTCAAGCACCAGAGCCGAGTGTTTGCTACTTGTAGCCAAATTCACTGACACAGCAAGCGACCTGAAAACCAATCCACCCTCAAGCAGCACTCAGTGGCCCCGGGAGCCAGGCAGCTCACCTCCCTGAGTCCATCTGAGACGTCAGCCAGGGAAGAAGTGGTGAGCGAGGGGCAGGCCTTTCACAGGGGGGGTCAGTGGGGCAGTCTGCTGCAATGTGCCTCTCCACCTCAGACACCCACGTTCCGGAGAAATCCTGGTCCCCTTCCCAGGGGGCAGTTATGAATTGGTTCACCAAGGGCTTTACCTATCCCTCCTTTACTTTCTCGTCCCTTGGTGAATCAGGTCTTGGAATCACTGAATTACGAACGAGAGAAGTTCAACAACTTGATCCACCCGAGTCTCGGGGCTCATGTGTGTGGCAGAGCCAGGCCTTCAAGCCAGGCCTCTATAACTGCCTGGCCTGGGCTCTCCCTCTTCATAAAAGGGGTGCCCTCTGACTCTGGAGAGCCTGCACCCCTCCTTGGGTCAGCAGGCCACTGCTGAGAGATGCGACTATGAGATTTCCAAATCGATTTTAAGAGCAGCGTTGGCGTACTTTCTCTTAGTCTGCGGTCCTTTTAGGAAGATGGTAAAGCCCTGTCCCCAGACTCATGTCCTCGTCATTGATTGAATGACTGTGGTGTGGTGCTGATTGATGTGCTCTTAAATGCAGTTGTCCCACACCAACCCGCCGCTATTGTTATTGCCAGTTTGCAGAAAATGAAAAGGGAGGTGACAATGATCAGGGGACTGGCTCAAGATCCAGCGGTGAGGGGTGCCCCAGCTCAAGCCCTCTCGAAGCAGGTGCTTCTCTGCTTCCTTCCCCAGAGCTCCCATTCCACCCCCCCACCCCAACTTCACTAACCAACAAGCCCAGCATGAGCTCATTCCCACCCCACTCTCTAGTACCTCTGGTATGTGGATTCACCTCTTCTCGGATAACTCCATCCTAGAATATAGTCGGCGAGGGGACAAAAATAAATACAGCAAGTAATGCGTTCAGAATCGGAATGTAAATGGGCACCCGCACAAGTCTTGGGATCTAATTTTAGAAAGAAACAGCCAAAAAGTCCCACACAGCGCAGTGAGCATCTGGTCTCGTGGGAGGCTGCCCACAGGGCTTCAATCCGCACTTAACCCAGGAAGAGAAGAAGTCCTGGAATCCCAACTGGCACTTCGTTTTGAGGCAACCAGCAGGGCAAGGCGCAGAATGACTTTCAGTGTGTTCGCCAAGAAAAGGGCTGAGACCCAGAATTAAAACATCTCTGGGGAGAGGAGGTGATAAGCCCCGAGAAGGTTCTCAGACACCAAATATTCTGTTAAAATTTGCCGAACCACGCTCCAAGATCGTCCAGATTAACTTCCCACCTCTTCAATGGACCACCCTGAGTCTTCAAGCTCAAGTACACAGATTTTGTTGACATCTTCGTCCGTTTGATGGACGCCCAGAATGAGGTTTGTCATCAATTGACATTTCACCTTTTTCAAATGAGAAACCCACTCATGTACACTTGAGTTTTTCCCATAGCGCTGTCCTTGTACGCGGTGTTCAACATCACAACAGTTTCTGCGGCATTTTTTCCCAGCAGGAAACAAAATTTCACAGCCCCTACGCTGTTCCCTTAAATTGGCCACCACGGAAAAAACAGGTTTGAGCAAAACTGCTTTTACAAAAAAAAATCACTGTGACCAGAGAGAACCTTCCCAGGCAACGCCACTGAGCTCACTAACTCAGAGCAAGTTGCTCGATGCTTGCTTAGCGGGGATAACGTGTACTATGAAAGTGGAGCTTTTTTCCATTTGGAGGGGGTACCCCCTTATGTCCTGCACCATTACATGCCTGGCAGCCCAATCACCTTGTCCACAGACATGAGAGGTGAGTGCTGCATGCAGGAAGCTGTCACATCTGCGACGTTCACTTACGTCTTCCACATCCCATTCCCAGAACAAGATTTCTGAGCTCTACCATGACTTTCTGGGGCCAGGATGCATAAGCACTAGGAGGGACACTGCCCGAAAGTTGAACTCGGCACATAGCTGTACCTAAAATACAATGTCGTGGGTGCTGCAAGGGCGGTACTGTGGCCAAAGTCACAAAGTGACAGCCGTCCTGCCAAATTTAGCCCATACAGGGTTTTCATTGTTATAATTAGGTGCTAACATAAACACCTGCTGCTTTCATGTAAACTTGTATGACTGCGGTATCTTATGAAACCTGAAGTTGTAGCACCACAGGGTCTACCCCACAGGGTCAGCAGCAGCAGACAGCTTCAGTTAAGGAACCATTGATTCCTTGACTGGGGGCACCTGTCCTCCAATTTCGTGCTAACCCAGCCCGACCCCACTCTGTTGTCTGCCAGCCATGAGGTTAAAGACAGGTTGCCAGGTACTCTGTGCTGCCCCAGCTCTCTTTCTGGAGTAGGAGACTGATTCTCCATCTCCATACCCCAAGGATAAGTCAGAAAAGGAGAGAGTGTGCAGGGACCGCATGGAGAGCGGAGCAGAGTGGGGCGGTGACTGCCTCTGAAAGTGGGAATCCCTACATCTCTGATCAATCAGGCAAGCGGGCCTGGGTCTTCCAGTTAACCCATTGTGTCAGGGTGCCCTTCACGTGTTTATTTGACCTGCCTGGCCCTTTAGCTTCCTCATCCAAGCTGGACAAGCCAGGTTTCCCACTGTCTGTGGACTCACCATCTACGAAGGCAGATGCATGGCTGGCAGACAAACTATAGCAGGCACTGTGGATGCCAAGGGGAAGGGACCCTCAGTCTCCCTAAAGACGCGAGGGAACAGCTGACACAGAGATGGCCCTGAGGCTAAATCATGAAGGGCAACATTTTTTCCTCCTCCAAAAAGGGCAAGAGGAAGGCTTGACATGAACTGCCACCTTTCAGCTGTCTTCCTATGGACAGAAGTAGAACAGTGCCCTGGCATAGGATGTGTTGTTCCTCAGGATGACCCATCCTCCACCAAGAATCTGGACAAGTTCCCATAAACCCAGGCCATGACGAAGTTTCCAGAAAAGTGAGACCAGTTAATCCTCTTCCTGTCTGAACACTGAGACACATGCAGATCCCCACGGAGAGTACATGTCCAGTTGGGGAGCTCAGCTTTAACATCAATCCATGCCTCGTCCATTTCCTGCTAATCAGACACATGCCAAGGGAGAGAACTCCCAAATCAAGACAGGAAGCGGGGCTGGCGTGAAAAGTAAATGTGGGGTGCAATAGCAAAGTGTGGTAAAGAAAGTGGATGGCGCCTGGCTATGAGAAAAGCGTCTGGGGTCTTAAAGGCTTATTTTCAAGTAAGTAGCCATCTACGTGAGACGTCCACTTTGGAAGAAGTACACCAACATCTGTGACCCAAGGATTGTAAATAGTATAATCCAAATCCAAAGGAGGGAATGGTACCAAAGATTAAATTATGGAAATTCTGTTACTAAACAAGAGTGCCTTGGAGAGATGAGTAGCGAAGATCAAAAGGATAAACCTGACTTGAATGGTTAAAACCTTGTCAGTTGATCCCCTCTTTGATGATCTGGTTTTCAACATTGTCTGTGTTTGTTTGTTTGTTCACATTAGGGTTTAATCTCAGATCTGTTATGTCATCGGGGGTCACCCTCTGAAGCTGTGTTTTATGTTTTTCAGTATATGCAGCCCAGGATTGATGAACCTATTGGGACAGCCAGTAGAATAAGGGTTTTGAGGTGGGAAGGGACAGTGGTGGTGGAGGTGTGGAAGGGAGACAATGTGAAAGTGGCCAGGAAGGAAAAGAATGGTTGGAAACTGACTGTGGTAGCAATTGTACAATACTGCTTGACATGAATGAACTATGGAATGACTGATCTATGTAGTAACTCCCAATTAAAAGAAACTGAAAATTAAACAAAAAAAAAAAGGAAGAAGAAATTCTGGTTTGCAGAAAGCTATATGGATGACAGTGGAAGGCCAAAACACATTTGTAGGATTTGCACTTGGAATATGCCTCTGGTGATTTCCCTTTGACCATCACTGAGGGATGGGAATCACCTGTCTGAATATCAGACAGAGTACTGTAGAGGCGATTAAGAACTTGGCATTTGATCGCCCTTTTGATACACTTTGAGCTTGATCTGCCTTTTCATATTTTGTTTCTTTTTCTTTTCCAAATTGGGGTTTATCTGTTTTATTTTGTTATTCTTGACTGTGATGTGTTTTTCTGTTTTTTGGCATATGAAACTCAGGTTGGGCAAATCTATAGAGACAAGAACTAGAGTAAGGGTTCTTGGGCGTGGGATGTGGCGGTGGGGATTGGGTGGAAGTCAAGGGCAGCTGATAGCAAAGCTTATGAGAAGGAAGAAAATGCTGTGAAACTGATTGTGGTAGCGATTGTACAACACTGCTTGGTATGACTGAACGACTGAATGATATGTTTCCTGGATTACGTCCCAATGCAATGGTTTGAAAAAAGAAAAAGAAACGTGGGGTCCCAAACTCTTGCTCACTAATAAACAGGAACGCTTCCAAGCAATTCCTTAGCTGTGTCTGCAGCACCCACCTCTCCCGTCAGGGTCGAAGAGGGATTCTTGCCACTGAGCTGATTCTCAATCTGAGCTGCCTCTGCTTGAGCCCGGCGACCCATCTTGGCCCCCTGTAAGGAGAGACGGAAGAACGCTACTGAGCCAAACGTGAGTTGTGGCAGAGGAGGAATTCTAGGAAAGTACATGAGGACAGGGCTGGCTCTACGGGGACATGGTGGACAATGGGATTTGCAGAACTTACTATCTTCTTACGAAACACTCCAAATCCTAAACAAGGCAGACTTAGTCTGCCAGTTCTATCTGGCAGACTAAGAAACTGGTGGGTTAACGATGGTAAGATTTCCCCCCTTTGCCACCACATGGCTACTGGCGCCAGTGAGCCGGCTCTCGCTCACAGTGACCGTCTGTGGAACCGCCCTAAACGCTGCCCAGTCCCACACCCTCTTCCTCAGCGTGGACCTTTTCCAACCCGCTGCTGTGGCTGTGGTGCCCATCCATCGCTCCGCGGGAGTCCCTCACACCCAGGGACCTCCTACTATATCAAGCTGGTCACTGCCTAGGGACCAGTCTTTGCTGATGGCATGGCCAACGTGAGACAGACCAAGTGTGTCCCCCGCCCCCATCCTCATTTCTAAGAGGCATTGAGACACCACTGTCCTGTGGTGCTATGCACGTTGCTAGGGCACTGGAATCTGCGCCGCCAGTGATGTTTCAATTACCAGCAGTCACCCAGGGGTGGACAGGTTTCTGCGAAACTCCAGCCTACGAAGAAAAGCCTAGCATTTGATTCGTGACAATTAGCCCCAGAAAACCACAACTACCCTAGGGACTGCAATAGCAAAGTTGCTTCTCTACCTGCAAGCACAGCTTCTAGAATGGGCAGAGGCAGCATGCCAGTTTGGGGAAGGGCTTGGTGAAGATTGCCACGCTATACACTGGAGGCACTGAAAGAGCCCTGGTGGCGATGTTGGGTAGGCACTAGACTGCTAACAGCAAGGTCAACGTTCTAACATCCTAGCAATTCTGAGGGAGAAAAATGAGACAATCCACTCTCACATGGATTTGTAGCCTCAGACGCCTTATAATAAGGTCCCTAGGCGGAGGAATGAACGTGATGGCAGTGGGTCTGGTTTGGTTTAATTGGCACCGAGTCAGCTCCCTCGCATCCTGATCCCGTGCCTGTCGAAGCCGAACTGGACTCCATCGGGTTTTCAGCAGCGGATTTTCTGGAAGTGGATCCCCGGACATTTCAGCAGGGAACATTCATCCTGTGTTCCCATCCAGATCAATGAGATGGCAAATGACATACAGACTGTTTGGAGAACCTATTTACAATTTACAGTTTTGCAGGTAATGATCAAAAAGGCATTTGGAAAGGATTCCTAAATTCGATGGGAACCGCTGGACCAAGAAGCAGAATCCTGGGAAGCGGAGACAATACTGAAGTTGTCAAGGATTTCATTTGACTTGGCTGCACAATCCGCCTCGACAGAGGCAGCCGTGCAGAAATCAAACAGGGCACCGCACTGGGGCAATGGTGGTGTACCTGACCCGAGCCGTGTTATTTTCAAGCACCTCATGTTCGAGCACAAGCTGGCCAATGGGTATGGAAGAACAAAGCATTGGGGCATCTGAATTCTGTTGATGAGGAATAAGACGTATACCCTGACTGCCAGGAGAGCAAGCACATCCGTCTTAGGAGAGCAACCAGAACAGTTCTCGGAAGCGAGGATGGTAGGACTCCATCTGACGTTGTTTGAGCATGCTGTTGAAAGGAGATCGTGCTTGATAGAGGATCGGAGGAGAAAGACCCCAAGGAGATAAGTTTGACACACTGGCTGCTAAAAGTGGGCTCAAAGATAGGAGCAATTGCGAGGACAGTGCAGCATCAGACAGTGCTTTGTTCCACTGCACCCAGGGTTGCTTTGAGCTGGAGCCGACTTGATGGCACCTAATACTTCAGCCTGGCAACTAACCAGAGAAATCAGCTAGCGGTTGCTTTGACTTGGACACGAGTCCCATTGGAAATTTACAGACGACAAGGGAAATCGGTCACACGAACCTGAGAGTTCAGCTTGGGAAGACAGAGAACCTCAAATTGAGAGTCATCAAATGAACTATTTTGCATGTGCTCCCCAGCCCTCCTGGCTCTGGCTCTCAAATGCTTCCCAGCACCCCCACCCCACGGGATTTGGGCAGCCCAATAGCTGTGGAAATAGTTCTAGTTACATTTAGAATGTGCAGAAATGGCTTTTAGATCCCCACAGTAACAGGGCCTCAGGCTGACACCATCTGACAGATGAGGAAAGTGAGCAGTGATTAAGTGACTAAGAGAAGTCCACGGACAAAGTCATCTTCCATCTCAAACCCCCGGTTCTTTCTATTCTAACCACCTCTGTGCAGTGGATTATTGCACACAGCAGCCCCATGGGACCGAGGAGACCTGCCCCAGAGGGTTTCCAAGGCTGGAAATCTCCAGGGAAGCAGACTGTCACACCCATCTCTGGCTGGTGCCTTTGACCTGCTGACCTTTTGGTTAGAGCTGAGCACTTTAACCATGGCACCACCAAAGCTCCTCGTTCTATGCCATGCTGTAGTTCCAATGTCACAGCTTTACGAATTGACACTGTCAGCAAATTGAGAGGGGCGTCACAAGAGCTCTATAAAAGTCCCATGTGTAGTGTTTCCACCTCAAACCCACGTGTCCACCATGCAGGCTTCTGGGATGAGGGAAAGAATCTGACCTTTCCGATGGTAAGTGGCTTGTTTTCTTCCCCCGACAGACCATCCCGGCCCTTCAGCCTGGGCTGGACTTCTCCATCTGTCACCGCAGCCGGGCTGGCCAACTCAAGAGAGTGGTTGTGCAAAACCAAAAATTCAATGGTCTTTTTTTTTTAATTCAATGATCCTGATGAAGTGCAGTTTCCAGGAGGTTTCTTTGAGGAATTGTGTGCTTTACAATTTTAAACGTTTGAAAGACCCTGCAAAAGTTCGCAAGTATGGCGGTAGCTCTGCTGTCGGATTTCATATGCCTTAAATCATCATCTGCTTAAGTCCCCTGCAAGCAGGGTCTGATGTGTTCCCAGCACCTAGGGTAAAGACAGGCACCCTGCTAGCTGAGTGGCTTACAAGCTAGTACAGTTAGTAGTTGGAATCCACCATCAGCTTCACAGGAGAAAGTTGAAAAGCTAGTCTCTGAAACCTACAGGGGAAGCTCTATCCTGTCCTAGAAGGTCATGCCAAGCCAGAACCGACTAGATGGCAGTGAGTATAGATAGAGAGGGCAACGACCCACACTCTGGAGGGACTCGGTATTTGTCAAAAGCCGGAGTGAACTATCACCCACAAGAC